GGAAGGGGGGGCTATGAGGGTTCTGGGCTGGCATCCCCCCACCCCAGATCCCTCATAGCCCCCCCGCTTCCGATAGTCCGGCAAATCTGATAATCCAGCACCCCCTGGGTCCTAAAGGTACTGGATTATCGGAAGTTTACTGTACTTTATTTAAAAATGAAGCCTGGCCAACAATCCCACAGTTGGGACCAAGCCCGCATCTGGCCACAGCATCATAACACTCCCGTGCCCTCCCCCCCAACCCATCATATGTCTGAACCCCCTGCCCTAAGCCCCTCATCCCCAAACTCCTGCATCCCCACATCCCCAGTCTTGTGCCACAACACTCCTGCACTATCCACACTGCAAACCTGTGCCCTTAACCCCTCATATACCCAACCCTTCCCCACTCTGAGCCCATCATATATCCCAACCCAAACTCTTGCACCCCCACATCCACAAACCTGCGGCTTGCTCCAGCACCCCAACCCTTCACCTGATCCCAACACTCTCCAGCCTGGAGCCCCCTCGATGAGCCAGCATCCCCTTCTCCACCTCTTCCTGCACTCGAATTTCCTCCCAGAGCTTGCGCCTCTCACCCCTTCCCGCACCCAAATCCCTCATTCACACCCCAGAGCCCACACTTCCCCACTGCATTTACTATTTATGGAGCAAACAGTACAGGAGGCCCCCGACTTGCAACGCGATTGGTTCTGGGGGAAGTGTCGCAAGTTGGGGGCATCAGAACTTGAACCCTCCTTTACGATAGGAGCCATGCACCGTCGTAAATGTGGGCCGAAGATGTAAGTTGGGGGTTTCCGGTCCCTTCCGCACTTACAAAAATGGTTGCAAGTACAGGGGGTCGGAATTTGGGCAGTCGCAAGTCGGGGGCCTGCAGTAAGATTTTTAGAAATATTTTTACAGCAGATGAAGAAAAAACAGATCATAAAAAAGCAATTTTGGGCTGTGAAAATTTAAACACGTTAGAACAGTTAAATGTTCTGAGTTTAACCGATGGAAAAAAGGAATTACATTCTTGTGGTAACAGATTTATTGCTCATCAACTCATTTCAGTAGCATAACTTGCATCTTTCATTTCAATCATGCTGCTTCACTAAGGGATTTGAAGAGGATGAAAAAAAGTTTAGAAAGTTCACCTCTACATTGCTAATGGAAAACTAACTCTCACAACTTCCTGAGCCAAAGGAAACTAGTGTTTCTGAGGAATGTTCATGGAAATAAAGTATTAAAACAGAGATTTAAATTCCATGCAGTGGGAACCGAAATGGAGTTTAATGCTAAAAAGCGTCCCTATTTCTTTTAGATGCAAAATGTTTCAACTGGAGAGAAAATAATCTAACATGAAACAAGTCTGGATTTTAATACAAATTTAAGACTAGATTTCTTCACTGCAGTAGTAGTTAAACTGCTTAGATAACACTAATTTGCCTTGCTTTGCTAAATTTTATAGTGAAGGGAGCCATCCAAGGATGCAAGATAACGTAGTAAGGTCAATGGAGTGAGAAAACAGTACCAAACAAAGTAGACAGCTGTCTATACATATTTTAGACAGGGATTGTGTGTGAAATTGTTTTTTAATCGTCGGTTTCATTATCAAGAAGAGTCTTTGGGTGGTTTAATAACTCACAATTTAAAAATGCATTAGCATATTAGAGATAGAAGATAAGAACCTTATACTGCTCTATTTGACAGCATTATAAAAGTACTTGGGTATCAGTCTTTCCATACATACCGTATATTCCGGCGTACAAGACGACCTCTGATGTTAAAAAACATCCCCCAAAAATCGGGGGTCGTCTTGTACGCCGGATGCCCCGCCGCCCGAGCCCCTCCGCGGCTTTGAAAGC